ATTACATTCGTATGAAAAAAATCATGTACACNTTAGCAGATTTAATAATGTCTTTATTTTTCGTGATTGTTCATATCGTCGTTCTCGGAATACAGTAGGCAACAGTTAAAATCTCGAACACGCGTGCCACCTTCGTATTTCTCAACAATCTCTTTCATCAGTTCCATTGTAATTCTAGTCATTTTTTTAGTTTTCTGTCGCTTTTCATTTGCCTTTTTGTGATTTGTGATTAATAAAAATAATAAAATTTTACTTACGAATTAAAATCAGAAGAAATTTAACAAAGTTATAAACCGTTGCACCACGAACGTCTAGTCTGGTCTAGTATACCGATAGTGTTACGTTACTTGTTCATTGATGGCGCGTATAATTGAATTATGTCGTATACCGAACAAAAGTCGTATACCGAGCAAAATTTGTTTCATCCAAACAGGACGTATTCTGAATTGGACGTATTCTAAAGCAGACGTATACTGAGGTACCACTGTACTGTATTTAATTTAAATTATATGCACTCCTCCTCAAGTTATTAGTAACTTGCCCCTGTACATCATACTTTTCCTGTTAGCAATAGAATAATGCCAGTCATGTATCTAACTCCTTTCAAGGGAAAATTTTTGAATTGAAATAACATGATTTCCGGTTTGCATCAGAAGTTCTTCTGTAGTTAATTGGAACCTCCTACCCCTAAGGTTTCCATATCTTGTCTCATTTTTCATCTAACTCCATTGTTGAGACTAAGAAAAGACAGATGGGTGACAGTGGGAATTTATAGGTCTACAATTTTTTCATATTGCAGCCCAATATAACATTACATTTCCAAAACTACTTTTATTGTCATTTCATATTAGCACAAGAAATAGCAATAATAGCTAAAATTTTATTAAAAAAGTAAGGTACAACTATAACAAATACATTAAAGTTACACACACAAATAAAGAAAAAATCATCTCTTATGAAACATTTAATGCAACCCTGAACCTGAATTAAAGATGAAAGAATGCTTAATTATTAACTAAATTATTTTATTATGATTTAAATAATCATAACAACAAATTTTCTTTCAGTTTGCATTTTTATTTGGCATAAATCAAAATATGATAAATACTGTACTTTGGAATAGAAGAAGCATAGATTTTTTTTTTTAAATTAAAATTTTAAACATAAATTTATGTTATGTTAAGCATGCTAGAACAATTTTCAAAAATTTACCAGTAAATTACCGGTAAACCAGTATTCACATTTTCATTTACCAAATTACCAGTAAATGAAAAAGTCGGTAAATTTACAAACCCTACTATACAATAAACTTCATTCACTTAAATAAATAATTTAGCATTCACGAAAATTGTTTTCATTCAATAGCCTATTAAAAAGTTTTTAATTTTGTATAAATTTTGTATTTAAATTTAAATTATCATTATAAATTCAGTTTTATATTCTAAATTATTTAATTCCTACAATACTAATATCAGTCCAAAATGTAATTCTTCTTATAATGAGAGTTAATAACAGTTTTACCTCAAGTAACAAATGCCACTTTTTTAATTGAGAGTTTTTTTCATTGTTTGTATATAAATGTTTATATATCAATGACCATTTATGCTAGAGGAGTAGAGGTCAGCATTAAAAATAACAAAAACATCATTTTATAAAATGTTCATATTATTTGGAATAAAATTTAAATAAATTTGTTTTATCTAATGAGAATCTATTGTGGTTCAATTTTGCAAAGAGGTACTTGAAAAAAACTTAGCCAAATAAGAGCTATAATATGAAACAATATATATATTTAAACATTTTTTATGAAAAAATTAANGTATACTGTGAAGTTATATAGTAGAAAAACATGATGGCCAGATAGACAAAATGATAAAAGTGTCGGCCTACACTCTGAAGACATGACTCTGATACAAGATAGAATTTCATAAATTTTCATAGGTGGTTTGATCTGGATAGGTTGAGCCCTATCTCCTGATACCCAGTGTCCCAACGTGAGCATTGCCAAACTTATAATGGGCATACAAAGAAGGGCCTTTTATTGTGTACAGAGAAAGAAAAAGTTTCATATATATTTGTTATTTTATAGTTTTCTTCTTATAATCAATAAAAATAAAATGCTAAATTACCTTTATCTTTTTTTTCTTCTTTTACATTTTGTGCAACTTCTTTCACTATTTGTTTCGAATCAATCGTTTCTTGATTTTTAACTTCTTTATCTAACTTATTAATTTAAAATTAACAATATATAATATTTTAAATAATTTAAATTTTAACTTTAAATACCTTTATTTAAAGAATCAAACATTTTATTTTCAATCGGTTTTGTGTCTTTTCCTATTTCTTCATTTTCAATCTTTGGCTTTAATTGAGAAGCAACTTCCTGAGTTTTATTTTCATTGAGTGTCGAAAACGTACAGGCAATCAATATAAAAAAGCCAATAAAGGTGACAAGCTGTTTAATTTAAAACAAACAAGTTTTAAACATATAAAAAAAAAAATACCTATTTCAATATAGTAATTTGTATTTCATAGCGTATGAAGCAAACATTATTATTTCATATCAAAGTATAATTTTACAAAATTTGTATAAGTGTGAGATGCTAATTTCTTTCACAATACATTAGTCAATACATGATAAGTATGAGGAATTACAGCTTGGTGTGGTAAATATCGTAATATCAAAATAATAAATTAAACAAGGCCTACATAACGATGAGGAAGGTGCGACGACCATCAATGTAGGGTACATCAAAGAAGGATTTCCAAGCTGGTGAAATTGTGTGTGTCATTGTCACATCTTACTCAAAAATGCAAAAGGTCCTACTGATAAAAACATTTTCCTAGAGTATATTCTATTCCTATAGTAGCTAACAGATTCATGAAAAAAGGGCATCTATAGGTACCACTACATGCTCATTAAACTTTTTGCTCAAACAGCATATGAATTCAATTAAAAAGGATCTACTGACCACCATACAAGCAGCCTTCACCACAAAGAATGATGTTCATGTCACCCTTAAGAAGCACACATCTTATATACAGCTTGGAATATGACCCATCTTAAAACATCTTGAAAAACTAGATATATATACAAAGCAACTGCCATCAATTTCAAAGACAGAGATAATTTTGCAGTCTTGGAAGTCCTTTTTTTGAGGTTAACTGATGGACATCACCTTCCCATCTTTACATAGATGTTGTTTTAATTATTTTAATACATATGTCCTCTGACACACGGTCCCAACAAATAAAACTGATGTTTTGTCATTTTGAAATCCGACAATGACCAACGAAAATGATCAAAAATGTTCATTTAGTTATTAAAATATTCTTTTGATGCTGGATATTCTGGTCTTTTGACATGCTTGTATGTTTATGCATCCAGTTTTAAGAGTTGTGTATTAATTTTATATGAACAATTATTAATCATAAATTATTACATGCATTCTACTTACTTTATTAATTGGAATTCTTAATAAATTATTAAATATACAATCTTTTTTGCTATAAATTGGAAAAAAAAGAATTTTATTTTGAGAACTTATTACTTTATGCTCTTTGTTTAATTTCTTAAAATAAATTCAAACACAGTACTAAGAAAATTTTAATGAAAAATAAGATTTTGATATAAATGCTTCTATTTGTAATTGGAATTACTTTTAAATAAATAATGTTGTATTTGTCTGAATGGTCAAGATAATTAGTATCAGTCTATCACTCTGAAGACCTGTGTTCAAATCTCGACAGCCAAAACACCCAGGAATTTTGAGGATGGTGTATCCCGGATACATTGGGTTAAATCTCTCACCATTCATCTGTCCCACAACCTATGGTGGGCCTGAAAACAAGACAAGTCTTAGTGTCCTGTGGGTGCTAAATGGGCCTTATTTATATGAAAATTAATATGGAACTAAATCTATACTAAATTTCAAACAACAAATTATATATATATGTTCAATATGATGAGAGAATGTGGTGCTTCAATCTCTTCCCACAGCATGACACTGCATACAATTGGTGTCATTTTACAACAGTCGTCAAAAGGGTCATGCACACAGATTGTTCCATTAAAGAATTTTGAACTTTTGTATAGAGATGTCTTTTCACTCCTTTTTAGAATTAAATTTCAGTTTTTAATGTTAAATGCCAAACATTTGTTCCAATACAACTAAATACAATATAAATAAATGTTTATTCATTCAGGGTGTAAAAATTTAAATTTGTTTTTGCGTAACCATGGAGAATGTTTGTGTATGGATTTTTAGAAAAAAAAAAAATGTTTTCAAGATTCAACAAATTCTCCAAAACAAAAATGAACTTAGAACTACATTAACATTTCATAACAACCAAATATTCTTTTTTTTTTTGAAAGTCTGTAAAGTAGAAAAGTTTATTTATTGTCCAATTTAAATAAAATTGAATGTGGAAATGAATCTTCAAAACAGACCTGATCCCAGTTACATTATGCAATCTCCACTTAGAATATGCATCAATAGTAGTGTAAAAGAGTGGAGTGGCTAGAATTTTACTGAGGTAATGTTAACTGATGGATGGAGACTAATGGCCTGACTATACTTTAATTCACAATCGTGTCATCATGTTCAGATCTAGAAAAACCATTCTTATACCCTATGAGTTTTTCACAGTGATTTTCCTGTTGATAACATTACATTCTGGTGCTTCTATTTGAAATTTTTGAATGGCAGTACTATTAACTGTAATTATGATGTAAAACCTCTAAAATTTGCATAACCCAAACACAATCTAAGTAATGACTTAGTATAAATTTCTACCCAAACATTACAATTATAAAGATTTCTGGAGTATTGTTGAGTTGGTCAAGTTTAGTTTTGGTCATTCTAAATTGATTACTTCATATTTCTTTAAAATTTCTAAGAATAGAATGAAAGATATTTGTATTATTCAATTACACTATTCTAAAACAAATACAGATCCTATTAACTTAATAAATGTTCATAATTGTAAACATAAGATACCTTTTAAGAGTTGTTTCAGGTCCAAAACTCAAATCTTGTGAAATATCTTCAATATCTTCTAATTCTGGACTGGTAGAAAATCCAGGCTGTGCAATATCACTAATATCTGAATCAAATCCATCTATCCAACCACCTTCTAAAATTTACATTCAAAAATTTAAATGAATGAATGAATAAATAAATAATTAAATAAGCAAGCATGATAAATTTTAAAATTTTAACTGATGTTTATACATATATACATAAAACTAGTAAAGCAAAAATAAAGCAAAATTTTGATGTTTCCTAGTAATTGTGAGTACATGCTTTAAACAATTTTCTTAAACATTTCATTATCGTTTGACAATCTGCTGCACTTGGATGGATTAAAACACAAAATACCAAAATATTGGAGTATATAAGTGTGCACTATTAGAATTCTGGAATGAACATTTTGACTCACTACATGATGAGTCAAAATGTTTTTACTAAGTTTGGCACAGAATATAATTTTGAATACATGATGAATAGTGAATCAAAATTATATTCTGTGCCAAACTTAGTAAAAACTTCATTAAAACATTTAATGTGTACAAATGGCATAAATGTTTTAAAAAAAACTGAGTCAACAGAGGATGATCTTTATCCACACAGATCAGCTTTAGCAAAAATGGAGAAATGATTTTCCTAGTTTTCAAAGAGATCAAACCAGACAATCAATATGCAATCTAGTCAGCACTTTGGAAATTGTCTATACACATCACTGTTCATGAAAACTAGAAAATGTGTTCAAAGAAACAGGTTAAGCAATGCAAAGAAAAAGCATTCATCAGCAGAGAACTAACTGAAAAAGTTGATAAAGTCATATATTTTAAACAGAATGATTATTGATGGCAAAACCTAATGTTTCTTGTACAACTCGTATTCACCAACGCGAGTTAAACAGAGAGTTGACGAACTCGAGTTTAGATGTAACTCGAAGTCAGATTACGAGTTACTCTTCTTTCGTATTCAGATAAAAATTTAACTCTAGAGTTTCGCTACTCTAGAGTTAATATTTTAAAACAATCCTGAGTTCGAGATTAAACAAGTCTTCTTTCGTAAGCAGAGTTTTGATTGGTTGAAAGCAAACACGTGTATGAACCAGGGAGGAGACGAATAGAATAGAATAGAAACACGTGTAGAAAATGGCGGAAAGTGAAATGGAAAGCAGTGCACGCCGTAACTTTTCTAATTTTGAGAAGGAAATTCTACTTGAATTAGTCGAAAAATATAAATCGATCATTGAAAACAAGAAAACAAATGCGATTTCTTCCAAACAGAAGAGAGGCACATGGGAAGAACTAACAAAGGAATTCAATGGTATCCCGGGTGTCACCCTTAGAAAAACCAAACAGTTATTGGACTGTTATAAGAATTTAAAAAAGAAAGCCGTGAAAGAACAGGCACAAAAAAAAAGCCGAATTATTTAAAACAGGAGGAGGAAACCAATTCGTTCTAATAGGTTTCTTACGCTCTCTTTTGGCAAACGATATCGACATAGAAAGTCGTAATCGTCCAATTGTTCGAGGTCATTTCTTCTTGGAGAAATAATCCGCCGACTTCTTCGTTTCATACGATCTATATAATCTAAATATTTCAGATTTTCTAGCATCTCGGCTTCGTCTTCGTCGAATGTCGCCATTTTTCTCTGAAATAGACCGCTTTGCGCAGGCGTCAAACCTAGAGTTATCGTCTACTCGCCGATTTTCTAGAGTTAGAGTTAGAGTTAGGGTTATTGTGTTTGACTCGAGATTCGGAGTTGGTGAATACCAATTTACCAGTAACTCGAGAGTTAACCCTAACTCTAACTCTAACTCGTGTTGGTGAATACGGGGGTGAGTCAACACACCTCATCAAATTGGATAAATTAGCCTATTCCCATAGGCAAAAACATTTTTCCTTGACAGATTCAAGAGGAAGACAATGCTTGTAACTTTTTTATGTGAAAGGTCTGGTGTGTTATAAGTTTGTCCATGAAGCTATCATATTGACATTCTCAGTTACCTCCATGAAGCAATGCAGTAACAAAAACAAAAACATACCTTATCTCTGGCAAGCATAAAAGCTGAAATAATGAGGGATAGAAGTACAAAATAATCTAATAATCTTAATCTTTGTTGTTAATTTTTGCCTGGGCAATACCCAGCTCATCTACTAATTATTTTATACATTTTTCATTTATTTAAATTTGATTTTCAAATATTAGAATCAACTTGATAATTAATTAAAAAATAAAGTAACATCTAATTTTTTCATTGTGTTATTTCATATTTTTAAGTAAATGAATTTATTTTATGTATAACATTTTAAAATTACACATATAATAAAGCATGTTTAGTAATGTATTTAGGATGACTGGTATCATTAATTGCAAATATTTTTTTCCTATTTGCAATTTTATTAAAAAGAATTATATATGATTAAAAAAGTTTTTAAACAATAATTTATAAACTTACTTGTAGCTGTACTTCGATCACTCTGTAATATAATGTCAGTTAGTTGTCCCTTCTCTGATGTTTCTTTATTTCGATTTCGAGAATATTTCAGTAATGAGTCTCTTGACTCAGCATTCGTACTAGTTGGTGAAGTAACTGCTGATGAAGACTGAAGATCCTAAAATATATAAATACACATTACATAACTTATTTTAGTATAAAATCTTAAGTTTCAATATTTAATTATAAAAATATTGTTAACTGTATCATCATAAGAAAATATAACTTACTTGGAGTTCACTTTTCAAACTAGTATTTGAGCTTGAACTAGCATTAGGTGAAACAATACTGGGAAAATCAACAAGACTTACTATTGATTTAGTAGGAGTGTTTAATGAATTTGAATATAACGATGATTCTGTTCGTAATCCAGAAAAATTTAAACCTTGCCTAAAATATTTAAAATTTAAATAAAACACTTATTTAAGGTAATAAATATTTTATTTGAAGAAACAAGTTTTAGATTCAAAATCATTTTAATTAAAATATGTTATAATTTGAAAATAAAAATAAATATGGTAAATTAAATATAATATTTATATTTAAGACTGAATAGACTATTAGTTGATAAATTCTCATATAATGAACTAAAAACATATATAAATTCCTCTTTGCCTAAACAATTTATAAAATATAATCTAAAATTTATTTGAAATCTGTTATGGTCTAAGTCAAGTAGGTAAGATTCCCCTCAGTTTGACCTTGATCAATGATATCAAAAAATTCAGGATCGACAAAAATACCCTCCTGACTTACAATTACCACCCTTCCCATCAGCTTGCCCCTGACGTTTACTTCGAAGATCCAGGTGATCCCATGTTTAGGATTTACACTGATGGTTCCAACATGGGTTATGATGTGGGTGCTGCTTTTATAGTTTACTCTGACTTAGTCTGCGAGCTTCACAATGCTTGCTTCCGCCTAGGTACACACTGCTCAATAGCATAGATAAAAACTTTAGCTATTTATATGAGCTTAATTCACATTAGGCATAGAAAAGACAAAAGACACTACTTATACTATTGCATTTATTCTGACAGTAGGGTAGCTTTACACAGGATTGCAAAATCTGATAGCCACTTAAAACTCATCCATCTCATACACCACATTCTCAGACATTTAGACAACAACATTAGAATAGATTTCCAATGGGTCTTGGGTCATGCGGGGGTTCTCAGCAATGAGATCACTGACTGTCTTGCCAAACATGCAGCAAAGTTTTCAGTCACTAGTACTTTCAGTAACATTCCTACCTCTACGTCAACAATCACGTCAAGAAGCAAATCTTCATTCTCTGGCAAGACAGTTGGGACCATGACACCACTGGTAGGCTCACCTACACTTTCATCCCCAAGGTTGACACTATTCTTTGCCACTTTTACCCTAGTTACACCCTCACTCAGCTACTTACAGGACATGGTAACTTTAAGCAATACTTCCATAGATTTAACCTTGGGGACAATCCACAATGTGACTATGGTATTCAGGAGAATCAAACACCACTTCACTTAGTTTTTCGCTACAAAAGAAACAATCACATTAGGGATGGTTTAATGAGAGCTGCTATTCTTGAAGGGTACAACTTCCTTGCAACCCACACCAACTCATTCATATGCATACAATGTTCCATCATCTACTCGCATTCATATCCCTTAGTGGGGCTCTTAAGAGCACTCACTCTGGGGACACAAATGGCAATTAGCTTTCCCTTGCTTTGTTTTAATTGTTGGTATATAGCTGTCTTTCAACTTTGTACAGGTATATCTTGAGTTATGTCATTCTCGATTATACGTTGTTTGTCAAAAAATATATGGAAAAATAAAAACCAAGTTTAAGTCATTTTATTCGACTTTATGTCCGTCCGCCACAAATATTGAAGTCGTAATATCACTAGAAAAGTGTTAAGCACATAAAATCATATTAAAATATGTACATTTACAGTAAATGTTAATATCATCATCATAAATCCTAGAGAACAAAACATGAAAACATCTGTGTTTCTGTGCTGTCGTCTTATTTAGCGGTACTTTAAGTGCTCAATATTTATGTTTTCCACAGTAGCTCCAATATCTACCATTTGGCGTCGTTGTCAGCACCACTTGATATTAGTAAATTTAATATAAATTAGTTTATTTTCTACTGTTGCAAAATAATTTTAATAACTGTATTTGTTATTTAACCTTGCAAAATCATCTTATTTTATAATGTTTTAGAGCAAACCACATTCACAAATAAAGAGTCTGCGATGTGCAGTACTGTAAACGTCACCAAATTGTAAACATGTACATTTACAAGTATGTACTGTATGTGCATGAATTCATAAATTCAGATTACTTTTTTCTGTACTATATTAAAAACTAAAATTTATTTGTTTGTAAGCTTAAAATAGATTATTATTAACCATATATTATTAAAAATGCATTTATAAATTAAATACAGAACTGGGAATGGTTATTTGTGGTTTAGCATAGTAGTGACATGTAAATTTGACTTAAGTCACCTCTCCTGGAACCAATTACCGACGTAAGGCGAAATATACCTGTATTTTAATTCTTATTTTCTGTCTGTTACTGTCTATTTTCTTTCTGTCTGTTCTGTCTGTTTAATTCTGTCTTCTTTTTCAGTCTAAATTCAGTTAATCCTAGTTGTAAGTTAGATTAGGGACTCTTAGCTTGGTTTCTGGTTAGGTTAAATTAGATTAGAGTTTGTTAGCTTTAGTCGTCTTGTTAGATTTGTCCTAGGTTATAGTAGGTTAGTTTAGTTAGTGAGTAAGTTCCTGTTCAAAAAAAATGCACAAAAAAAAAAAAATAATAATAAGAATAATAATACAATAAGACCCCGCTTAGCGCTGCCTTGATTAATGTTGATTCAATATAATGCAGTCTGCTTGAAATCTAAAAAATCTCAAAATTTACACTGATTCAAATTACCATAACATTTCATTGATTTGTATATTTAATATAAAAATGTTTTCAATTGTCTTTAATGATCTTCATCAGTTAAATAATAAAGTAAATTACTGCAGGTTTCTGGTGAGAGCCTTACTGACAACAACCTTCAAGAACTGGAAAAACAAGGAATTCATGTAGAACTAGTAAATAGTGATTCTGTAAATAAAGAACCCAAAGAACTTGCTACAGATTTTCTTAGTAAAAGTTTGGTAACAATAACTGAAATTGTTGATCAAACTGTAGCAAATGATCCAGATTTTGAAAGGAGTGGAAAAGCAAGGCATTTTGGACATGATCTCTTGCTACAGACATTTCCTTAAGGAAAGAAAAAAAGCAAGTATCTATGTGTATATATATATATATATGTTACTGTGAAAGACCGAAATTAGAGAATGTCGATATTCTCCAGTGAATGTCGACACATACAACATACATTGGTGAAAGACCAAATATTTGGTTATATTATTATAAATTTGAACAATTGCTGGTGTATGTTGACAAGCACAAATAAGTTTTGGTGGAGGTCGAAATGACATCCGAGAAACTGATGTCGACAGAGAGGCGACAGTCTGTCGCCAAATAGTTTGTGGGTAGCCAGAGGTAGGACATGGTCGTACCTCTTTTTCCGGCAACAGTTTGGCGGAAACTGCCCACTCTTTCACTGGATGGCGTTTTTGTTCTTTTGATCCTGTGAGGTGGGATCGGTTTGTCAAGTCAAGTGGCAGAGGATGAAAGGGGTAGTCAGTAAGGCATCGGCAATATCCGAATAAAAGAAACTATTAACAGATTAGTTCGTGATCACATAATAACGTAATCAGTTTGTAATTTGTAAAGAAAAGTTACTTTCTATAGACAAGATTTCTTCTCAAGAAATATCGCTGAGAGAAGCAGCTGCAGCTAATTCCAAAAGTGGAGGGCAATGCTATACACACTGTCATTGCAAAAAGAAGTATTCCACGAACAAATGCAGCTGTAAAAGCAAGGGACTCTTGTGCAATTCAGTGTCACAACAGTTTAATTTGTTGCAATATATAAGATTGTATAACATTAATCACATAATTTATGTGTAAGTTTATTATTGTATTATTTTCTTCTCTGATTAAGAATGTACTATTGTTTTAGGTTCAAAACTTTATCTACATGTGGTGTTACTTAAGCTTTCTCCTATTTTGACATATTAAAAAGTTACATTTTTGTCTTAATGTAATAAAAATATTTTTATTTAACATTCACCATCAGTGAATGCTGAATGTCAACATTTGCCGGTGTAAGTGAGAAATAATGATATTTAGCAAATATTTCATACATACACGAAATGACTGTGTGAATGCTGACATTCACCATAGAATGTTGACATTCGCCAGATATCGTCATTCACAATAACATATATATATACAAGACCATATGAGACTTAGACCATATATATATATATATATAAAGTCTTTATACTCTTCTATCTTTAGTAGATACATAGAAATGGCATTACATGAAAGACACACACAGTATTTTGTCTAAGGAGGGCAAGATGCAGTATGAAACATGATTTAGATCATAAAATAAACTATATACTGGATAGTGAATAAGTTAAAAATTGCACCTTTATCAATCCAACAAACTATTTTTAATAGCATAAAATGTTTCCAATCGTTTTAAATGATCTTCCTCAATTATAACAAAATAGAACATTGAAAATCTAACATAAAATAAAAACATGGAATAAATATAAAATTCAAACGAAAAAAATGCACATGCGAAGTAAATATATTTTCATTACATTCGTATGAAAAAAATCATGTACATTTACTAATATCTTTAGTTTTAAATATAATATTTTTCAATACATTTTATTAGAAAAATTTATAAGAAAAAAATAATATATATCAGAACTAACATTTAAACTTGATCATTTGAAACTTTTTGTCAAAATTAACATTGTCTAGTTACCTAGATTTTTGCTGGCACTGAGCCAGAAAGACATAGAATATTGTTTTGTACAACTCTATATAACACTTATGCATGTACGTTTATTCGTTGTGAAATTATTGCACATTATATCAAACATTTGTTTGAAATCAAAACTTTATCCTTGCTATCAACTAATATAATGAACTAATATACTTTATTCACTTCATATCAAATAAAAATATAAATTTTTGTAATAAACATATGATTATCAGTAGTAATACATGTAACATTTGCTGATATTTTATATTAATATAAAAAATACAAAATATATAAAATGTCAGAACTGAAGGTCACAACTTGAATATTTATAACATGTTGGCTTATTATAGCTGAATAAACTTATTATATCATGAATGAACTTATTATAGTAATTTTATTACATGAATATGCTAAAAATGAAATAAAAAATTATCAGGAAAAAATAAATTAAGAAAAAAAAAACATTAATTAAAATTTTTTAAGTCAATAAAACACCACCTGGTCAAAAATATGTGACACAGACAATAGACAAGATGCTGCCATCAAATGCTGACATCTGTTGTCGATAAAGTTTACAAAAAACCAACTTTTTACAAGGGTGCTGACGAATCGGTATCCTTGTGGTTTTGTTTAACAATAGGGATAACGACTGATTGGAACCCTCAACATGAAAGGGTTAAAAACCAAAAGACGTTTTATTGAGAAACAAGAAACATCTGTATTCATAATTATATCTTTATAAATTTACAATTGTTCATGATTGAGTTCATGTTAAAAAGATTTAATAAATAATAATAATAAAGGACTAAAAATAAGTAAAAATTTGATATTTACATAATTCAATTTTAAATATTTTTTTAATGTGTAAATATTAAATTTTTACTTATTTTTAGTCCTTTATTATTATTATTATTTATTAAGTCTTTTAATAAAATAGTCAAATACAGTCAAACCTCAATTTTTGAATGACTCACTTTTTGAACAAAACAGTTCCCAAACAGAATTTCTAACTCATAATTGTACTGGTTGCCAAACAAGCTACTCAGCAAGAGCCAGCCACAGATTAGAGAGATACAAATAGTCAACTTCCTATACTTTCTATGTTAAAGAAAGTTGACGGTCCAATCAATCAACAACAGGACTACTGATTCAGAAGTTAGTGGTGCTGAAATCACCTCATGTCATTAGATGTCACGACATGAATCATTGATGACATTGCTATTTAAATTAGATTTCAATGTGCATGCAGGAAAGATACTAATTTTGTTTTTAGTACATGCTGCAGTTGAATTTAAATCTAATTAATTAATAAAAAAACACATTAATTTACATAATATAAATGGCATCCAAGAATTCATGTTTAAAGATTCTTAAGTAAAATTAAATAACAAAAATTTATTATTAATTAATTTAAATATAATAATTTTTTAATTTTTTCTCATTAGTATACAATTGGCATTTGGCATTATATTTAATAGTATTAACTAAATGCAAGAACTTTTAATCTCTTTTAGGAAGGTAATAAATACAGCTAAAAAGGTAAAAAAATAAAAAGGCTTTATTTAGGACAGGAATGGATTAATTCATTTTGTATTGTTTGTTATGGGAAAATCTGTTTCAATTTTGGAACAACTTTTAGGAACAAATTATGTTCAGAAACCAAAATTTAACTGTTTAAAATATCCTTGATAATTCTACTTCTGTAATTTTCATTAAATTTTATATGGGACATGGATATTATTTATTATAGATGATAACAGAGAAATGCTATTAAAAAGTAATACATTATGATTCTGTAATTATTTTATTTTCTAAAATCATAAGTAAAATTGACCAGTGATTTTAAACTATTGTTGAATATGATAAAATAGTTAAAATTAATTATTACATCAGATCATCGTAAATATTAAATTAAAATTCAATATTTGAATTAATGTTAAAAATATAATTTACAAAAATTTTACCATTACCTGGATTTATTTGTAATTGCTTCCAATCTTTCTGTTCCAAACAGGATTTTTGTTCTTTCCATGTAATCCATATGAGTTTTAAACAACTAAAAATTTAATAGCAATTACTAATATGAAATTTAAAGCATTTATTATAATAATATTCATTTATCATTCATTTGTTTAGTTAAGATTTTTATTTTCTAAATTTATTTCTCTTATTTTAAAAGTATGAAATACATTCCATAAATAAATCAACAGTTACACAACCAGATAGAATTGTCCAACTAATGCAAAACTTGACATACAGCTATGTCGTAGATAGCTGTATGTCAAGTTTTGCATACAGCTATCTATCTTTAGATGTATATATAAGGATTGCCCAAATGAAAAGTAGACATGTGTCATATTTCATCAAACAAAGTAACAATTGGTGGGCCATCTTACAGGCAGGCAAGCTCAACATTGGTGAAGTGTGAGCTGCATTAAGTATTGGTGGGAATAGATTTTATCTCCAGTAATTGGCAGATTGATGTTAAGTTGGTTATGGTGGAAGCATCAGAATTGAAGAACAGATGGTAGTTTGATTTTTAGTGGCTAAAGGAAATGGGGTGCTGACATCTATAGATGAATGAAGCACATTTACAGTGCACATTGTTTAGGATGAACAGCAGTGAATAATTGGTGCAAGAGTTACAGAGAAGGCAGCAAGTCAATTCAGGATAAAGTTAAGATCAGGTCAGACACACACTGTAGTTTCTACTGCATCAATTGCTGTTGGTTGACTTTATGCCACCACACACAACAATCAACTCAGAATGCTATTGTAAAACTCTGTCACTGTTGCTCAAAGCAATGAAGTCAAAATTCCCAGGACTCCTCTCACAAAAAGTCATCCTGCTTCCTGGCAATGCTAGTCCACATTTGGCAAGTGCAGCCATTACATTACAGAAATTTCACTGGAAGGTACTAGAACATCTGCCATATAGTCCTGACCTATTGCCATGCAACTTTCACATTTTTGGACCTCTCAATAAATCTTTGCAAAGGCAAAGTTTCATGTTATATATTTCAATAGGGTCAAAGAATTTTTTTGCCAGCAGCCACCAAAATTCTATGTAAGGGGCATTGATCTGCTTGTGAGACACTGGGATTTTTGCCTAAACAAACATAGATATTTCTTATATTTCTTTTAGATATGCAATAAATGTTGGCCAGTTTAGACTTACATCCACTTTTCATTTTGGCAACCCTTATACATATATAAAAAAGATGTTTATATATGTTTACAAGGTAGCTTCAAAAAGTTCCCAGAATTATGCTGGGTTAGTCAATTAAACAGAACATGTAATGCATGTCTTAGCTAAACATGTCAGGAATAGAAAAATATGTTCAAATAAATCCATACTTGTTGCAAAGATGACAACAGTTACCATTCACTGAAGGTCGTGTTAGTGAGATGTGAAACAGAGTCTGACGAAAATGTCTTTGGAAGAACAGCAGACAAATATCAATTTTGTGTGTTATTAAGAGGACCCTCTGAGACTTTGAAGATGCTTCAGGATGCCTATGTTGAATCTTCCACAAAGCATTCTCAAGTTAACAATTGGCAGAAACACGTTTGTGAGAAACGAGAGTATCACTGTTGATTTGTGAAGAGGTTGTCCATCAACAACAACATCAATGTCTGAGGAGAAAATGTCAGTTGTATGTGAGATTATAAGGTCAGACAGACAGCAATCAATTGAGCAGATCACCAAGACAGCAGGAATTTCAGTTGGAAGTTGTCATTCCATCCTGTATGATCAATTGAGCATGCACCATTTTGCCAATACGTGGTGCCATGAATGCTCACAGCAGACCTTATGCGATTTCTACCTCTTCCTCTGATTGAAAGATGCCATCAAGGGATGCCACTTCAAGAATGCAGATGAAGTTATGTAGAGTACGACATCTGCATTGCAGACACTGTCATGAGACAGCTTCCAAAAATATTTTCAGCACCTATACCAGCATTGGCAATGTGTGTGGTTGCCAAAGGACAATATTTTGAAAGACACATTGCCTGATTTGTCAAATGTACACATGCTTTTGAGTAATAAACCAAATCCAAGAACTTTTTGAAGGTACCTTGTATAAACATCATGTTGGAATTAAGCAATGACCAGCTGAGTGCCACAGTAGGTGATTATAGGATGTGGGTGCTGAAGGCATCCACAGTCAGTACCATAAGTAACAAAGGATAGTTATATCTTAATTAAATATATCTAGAAGGGAAGATCGGGTTGGAGGTTGAGGTAGTGTAACAGGCAATGCATCTGCACAGTAAGCAGGAGTTGCAGGTTTGTGTCTCACTCTAGGCCCATTCTTTTCTTCCAGAATATTCTAAATTATTTATAAAAATACTAATTTAATTATAATTATTAAATTTAACAAAAGATGGCACCTAATGCTTATCTCTGGTATCAAATTATTTAGAATTTAAAATAATAGCAGTAAAATAGCCCAATTTAATTCTGCAATTGTTTAACATATTACTAAAATATAGGGCTTCAGGATGTTTATATAGGTTTGGTTATCCTGCTATATAACAATCTTTGATACTTTTTTTTCCATTTTGTCAGGAATTTATTTTATTATACAGTGGTACCTCAGGATATGAAATTAATTCATTCCGAAACTGAGATCGTATCATGAAAATGTTGTAAGGTGAATCATTTTTCCCCATACAATTACATGTAAAACAAAATAATTTGTTCCAACACCAAAACACACTCAAATTAAAGCTAAGTAGTACATTAAAAAAAAAAAAAGTATAGTAAGGAAAACACTAAAAAATGCGTTTTGTAGTTGCTAAATATATAAATAAACATAACAGAATAATAATTGATAAAAAAATGTAGTTTTATTTGCACTCTACCTTTGAGGATAGACAACGGTGGAGGTGTAAACTAGTGGCGGAGGAGAGGGAGAAAGGAAATGATACTAAAACTTAACTTACATAACATAATGTAACAATAACTTAAAAATAATATAACACTAATTTTTTTATCTTTTCTGTTTTATATATATATTTTTTTAAATATTTTATTTGCTGCTTTTTGCTTTCTTTCCTTCACTTCCACTGGATACAGGTCGCTTGGTAAAATATCTATCCAAAGAGGTTTGGCTTTGCTTACTTTTTAAAATGTTTCTAAAATGACTTAGGCAAATGTCATGTTTCTAAAATGACTTAGGCAAATGNAAAAATCGGGCCCTAGACATTTGTCTCATTTGTCTATGCGATGATCCGGCCCTGTAGGCAAGTAGTGTTCAGGCAGTTTGAGTCTGATGAGTTCAATTATGACTTGTGGTCAATGGATGTTTAATGTTTCTTCAGATGTGTTCCAAGCAGTCTAGTTGTGGCCCACACATAGCACATCATTTGACTGTTGTATGGCTATCTCAAAAAAACTAAATTCTTTTTCTGGGTATCACTCCTTATCTATAAACTGCAGTTAGTCAACACTCCACATTGTTTTTTCTGGAACATTGGCTTTACAGCCAATGCTCCAGACTTACAGACTTTTATTTACACTGAATGTGCCCAAGCTACCCACTATCTCGTAACTTCTACTTACATGTCTTACAAGTATTCTCTGCATCAGTATAAATGTGAAACACTTTGTAACTTGATTTTTTAAAATATGTTTTAATTTGTCTCAAAGTCATCTAAAAATAATTTACAGAGTTTCAGGTAAATGATATTTATATTTATACAACAAATTTTCCTTAACATGTAGTTTAGAATAACAAACTATAGCAAAATACCTAAACACATTAATATTGCTAATGTTATCAGAACATTTTTCTCTGGTCATTTCATATGTATATAATTTACATCATAAAATAAAATATTAAAATATTTTAAATATTGTATTCTTACCTCAGTATATCGTTCATGTAATTTAGTATACTCCTTTCTCATTTCAGTTTCTTATATGTTTAATCCATTATGCTGTTGTTTTTTTTTTAATTTTAATAAAATATTTTTTCAGAGAGGAGGATAATATCAATAACTTAATAAAAATTATTGATATAAACTGACTGATTACAAATGATAAAAAGCTAGTTACAAAATGCTGCACATATACACTGGTGCAGAAAATACTTGTAAAACATGTAGGTCAAGTTACCAGGTGGTGAGTGGCTTGATCACACTTAATGTAAACAAAAGCCTGCAAATATGCAGCCAATGATGTGGAACAGACAACATGGAAATGTTGATCAAAACTGAATTTTGTAAATAAGGAATGATTTCTAGAAAAAGGTCTTATCCTCATCTTTAGTGGACAGTAAAAATAGTATCTTCATCCCATATAGGCAAGCAGGGCCGGATTAACCCACTTTGGGGCCCTAGACATTTTCTTCTTACGGGGCCCCCCTTTCTCACACTAGAAATAGAGCACACAAAAAATATAAAACAATAAATAAAACAAAACTAAATAATGTGAAAAACTAAAACAAATCTTAAGACCGTTTCAATC